AAAAGATAATGTAATACTGACTTCTGATTCTTTAAATTATTGTTGTAAATATATATTTACATGCAAAACATTTATAATAATTGATTGCCACAAAGACTTTATTTCTAGACACAAAAGTCGATTTGCACTAACCATCCCAAATAACAGTATAAAAGGCACTGACTGTCGTTCATTAAATTTATAACGTTAATGCGAATTTTATTGCTAACAAAACGTAGCAAAGTTCACAAACTGTAGTAATTATGTCATTGTCAGATGTCATTAGTGTGTGAAAAAAATTTGCTTCATGAATTTTATCACAGATGATACGCATCAAGAACAATTACATTCTGATGACATCGGCAAACATAACATTTTAGATACACTATACCGTCACTGTTAATTATTACCAAATGTTGTAGTTTTGTTATAAAGGATTTATTACTGGTCAGTGAGCCCGTCCTCTTTCCCTGTGTATCTAATACTACCTGATGGTGTTTTAATGGGACCAGTCTTAGGCTTAAATCCTCATATGTAAGTGCAGCAGGAAACCTTGGTGTCATATTTTAATATGATGAGTGTCCTGGTAATTTTTTAGCCTGCAGAGTTAATGTTTGGAATGGGCTTTTTAACACCCCAACCTGACCAAAATGATTAAATACATAAATAAATAACAGTTACAATGACAGCAGAGCGGCCATAACTGACATTTTACTGTAAATAGATATCTAATGTTTAATGTTTGTTTACAAAAAAAAATCTGTTTTAACCTGACAATAACCATCCAGACAATGCAAACCATTTATTTACCAGTCAGAAAACATTTATACATATAATGTTATTGTGAAAGAAACAGCAATCAAGTAAAGTTTAAGTTCACAATGACAATTTATTAATATGCCACGAGTGTCTTCTCCCAAATGTGTTCACATTGTTGTTTTTCACCACTAACATTCACAGCAAACTCAGTTTAAAGTCTTTTCCAAAGACATGTCATAAACAAACCTCACACAGTTGATTTCCAACTTAAGAGAGAAGCTCCATTTTGATTTCAAATGACATTTGACAACCAGCTGCACTGTTGCTTAAAACAAAGGAGACCTGTGGGAAGAGACAGAAGAGATTTGGATCTTTTAGAACACATAAAAATAAAATCTGGGGAAATTGTTCGAAAGGGCACACTGTATTAAAAGACAAAACTGTTGTCTACCAACAACAACCAAGCAAACACAGATGCCCAGACAGACTATCCCCATGGGTACATTTACAAGCACAGCAACAGTCCCTGTTGCCTCCACTTCCCTTCTCACCCCCTCAGGTGCTCTTACAGTTCCCTCTGGAAGAAGGGGTGTTCTTTGGGGGGTGGGGGGGTTAGAATGCCCCCGGCTATACCCCCATCTATCCCACCCCAACCCCTCCAGCCCTCTGAGAAGCCTTTTCATGCCCCTCCCCAGCCCTTTCCAAGCTCCCCCGTGGGGCAGGTGACAGCCCTCCACTGTGAAGGGCTGAGGGAGCCATGACGGATTCCACAGATGGAGCGTGGAAATTGCCGGCAAAGACCTCAACTCTGTGGAGCAACAAAGAGCCCGAGAGTCAGAGGGAGAAATATGGGTGGAAAAGACACAGAGAGAGAGAGAGAGATGGGAGACAAAGAGAGGGTGCGAGAGAGGGTGAGAAGGAGGGAGAGCGACTGAGAGAGAAGAGGGAGGAGAAGGTGGTGCTTGTTTAAGGAGGTCCGAAAAAGTGTGTGTTACGCTGCTGTGAAAAATGCTCAAGTCTGATGTTTTCTCAGCACTTTTTTTCACCTGTCACTACATGGCGCTGCTATTGTTTTGTTGCACTGACCAACACAGTTATCTCGTTGGATCTTAAGATCAACTGATACTACAATCCAACGAATCGAAATGAAACGAGCCAGCTTTGGTCCTCTCTGCAGGATCGTAACTCGACTAGATTCCCGAGACTTAAGAGGTGCCACACTGTCGCTTCTTTTGAAAAGTTCTTGAAACCCCGGTAGCACTCATAACCGATAGGTAATTCCAAAGTGATTAAGGATTTTCCCGGGCTGCCTCAGCTTTCCCAAAACCCAAATCCCTGTGAAATGCCGAGGAACGTGCATGCTGGGGTGGAGTGGGGGAGGTGGTGGTGTTGGGGGCATTCCTTGTGGCCCTCCTCCACGCAAGAACTGGAGGGGGGAGGCTAAAAGAAGGCCTCGTCTCTTGTTTTTCAGCCGTCCTGTCCAAAAAAACTCCAAAGTGCCACATACCCCACACCCCGAATTCCTTCCTCGCCATCTGAAGCACAAAGTCCTCTAGTCATATAAAAAAGTTGGCCCTCAAATCCAGAGAGGTTTCGCCTCCAAAACTGTGATGAGCAAATGTAAGAAGTTCCAAAAACGGCTGTTATCTGAAACCACAGTTGCCGCAGTTTCGAACGATCGTGTCTTTGAGAAGTGCTGCAGTCTTTTTACGATGGCGAATTTCTAAACTCACAGGGAGACTGAAGAAGAGCTGGAAATCATAGAGAACAAAATTGCAGAAATATTCAGCAGCAGCTTAAGGCAATGTCTCCATTTCTCTTGCTGCCTCTTTGAAAATATTTTACTTATTGCCTCCCTCATGCTTGAATGTTTCTTTACCAATTTGCTCCTAATGCATGTTAAGTTGACTCCCACTGCTATTGGTGTTGTGAAGAGAAAATCGCCAAAGGGGGGCAGAGAGGATCAGTTTCACATGAGGGGCCCTGAGCTATTTGGATTCTCTTGTATTTTATTGTTGCTTCTGAGGGGGGAACTAATACAGTGTTGCACACAAAACTTCCCCTGTGCTGAGGGGGAATTAATTAAGTGTAACACAAAAAGTGGGCGCTTTGGCCTTGGTGAACTTAGAAGGGAGCCAATGAAGTGTTTGAAGTAAGTGTGTTAAAAAAAACCCAAACTGCTGGCTTATAGAGCGCAGCTCACAATGGAATTAATACTAATCTGAGACAGTGAGGAAAAGTAAAAACACAAAAGCTGTCAAGACACATGATATCACCAGGCTCAGTCAGCCTGAAGATCACAGTGGGTGAAAAAGCTAAAATTTGCGTACATTTTTAGAAATAAAATTGTGTAACATATTAAGCAGGAATGGCAAACAGTTCAGTGATCAGAGCTTCTCTAATGGGAGGATTTGCAGTTCATAAGGTTTAATGTTTGTTTTCGATCAGCAGTGCTGGGCAGGATTACTTAAAAAAAACCAAACAACTAAAAACACCTGTTGAATTCAATGATTTTGTTAAAAAGTATTGAGGAAAGTAACCCTTTGCATTCAGTTTTGTCCAAAGAACGTGTACCCTGTTGTCGATTTACCTCTGAGTTTATTGATTTGATCTAATTCCATAGTGAGTTCATTTTGGTAGCGTCTCCTCGATCCCAGAATGAGAGCTTTAGCTAAAAGCTACCTGTTGTATTTCCAGGACTCTGCTTCTCTACTAAAGAATATGAAGTAGAGCTAATTAGCAACTAACAATATTATTATCACAAAGTAATCTGAATACTTTGACAGTGTGACGCCCATCTTCTCTGCTCTCTTACTGGCTGACCTGACTGACACAACTGTATGATTGGATACATTTAACTAGTTTCCAGCTGCGGACCAAGCAGTCAGATGAAGACAGAAATACTTCCACACAGTCTATAGTCTTTTTGTCACAACAAAAATAACAAGGAAACGTGATAGAATATTTAAAGTAAATTATTAATTTTGAAAAAGTTCTCCAACATGTTTAGTCAAGGAGTAACTTTATTTATAAAAGAATTATCTGGTCCCATTTTTCACAGGTTGGCATGTTGACTTAATAAGACACCTGCTACTACAGTGAGTAAAACTGATGTTAGATTTATCGTGCTTCATTTCCAACTGCATTAACTTCGATAGATTGTGACTCACACGGTCATTGTTATATATGCTCACTCTTCTCTTTTCATTCATAAAATTGTTACTTTTGATCGATGAAAACTGGATTCTCTAAATGTTTCTCATCCATTTTGACTTTGTAGTCATGAAGCTTTTACTGAAAAAAATCTGGGGATGCTTTTGCAATAATACATTTCAAACAGGCAGATTATTCATTGAACGAGTCAGTGAGTAATCTATCTGTTGTTCAGTGAATTACGTCACACAACCAGGCATGATACACATTCACATTTTCCTCCCAATATCAGTGTTATAAGTGCTATATCCAGCCCTGTTCTAATTATAAGTCTTTTTATGGGTTAGTTTTAATCAAATCAACACATGCCATCCAATGTTTTGTCACCATTATAAAATCACACAGCCTAGTTTACAGCAGGCACTTCACTGACTTGTATCTGAGGGACTTGTGGAATTGTAGTTTTGTGCATGTCGACTGACAGGAAAAAGGAGACATTGTTGACAGCAGTTGCTGCATAGCGTCCCTTTGGATCATAAAGCGGCAATCACCTGACTGAAAAGACAGTTTGCCTTTCATCGAGTCAGCTTGCTTCTGGCCATTCAGGCTACTGTCCATACACTCACACCCTCACACACTCGAAGAATGGCCCCTAGATCCAAATTAGCCTTTTGTGTGGCTTTTAGTACACCGGTCCCCCTGTGGTGCTCTGGGAATCATGTCCGATGGGATTATTCCTTAGGCTTGGAATATTCCTTCTGAATGGAGGTCTGTTTGGCTGTTTGTGTGTGTGATTGTGTGGGTGTGTAAAGAAGTTGAACCCCCCCAACACACACACACACACATTTTCTATAAGCAACATAAACAAAGGACAACAGATGGCAAATAAGTGAGCATTTCCCAATCCTGCTGAAGGTGATATCTCTTCCTTATCATAAATAAAGGTTTTTAGACTTTAATCTCAGTTGGTTTGTGCAGCAACAGGAATTCAGGTGCTCACTTTATGTTTTCTAGAGAGACCATAATTCGGCTTTCAATGTGTCATAAGGTAAGACTAATGGACCTGTTCTTAAGGCTGTCTTCTTTTATTTTCTCCTATGTCTGAGCAGCCAGTCACTCAGATGAGGGTTCAGATGTAGAGTCAGAGCCTGATCTGCCGCTGAAAAGGAAGCAGCGGCGCAGTCGGACCACCTTCACTGCAGAGCAACTGGAAGAGCTGGAGCGGGCCTTTGAAAGAACACACTATCCTGACATCTACACCAGAGAGGAGCTCGCTCAGAGGGCCAAGCTCACGGAGGCTAGGGTGCAGGTATGAGCAGGCACATGCGTGCACGGTCAGGATCTACAAAAAAAAAATTCTCTCTCTTTTTCAGCTTTTCAACCCTACAGAACCATGAAAGCCACGACCTAGCATTGCCATACATTAAACATCCCTCTGAAACAGACGTAAACTTTGTGGCTTTATACACACTCTAACCATTTAAAGGCAACCTGCTGATCTCTCTTTGCTCCATACAATAGCACAAACTTACCCTTTGCTCCCAGGGGCCCAATCTGTACTTTCCTATTTCTAATGTGAAGTCCAGTAAATTCTCCTCCATGGGCTCCATATGTGAAGTGTAAACACTCCCAGCATGAGCTCCGTCCATATGGGCACAGTATGTCAACTCAACCAGCCGTGTTATACACGCACACACAGACTTTTTCTCTCACATTGCTTCCCACCTTCGTTTTCAACTTCACACCCTGAAAATGTTTCTCCGTGTATTTGTGAATATGTTTGTGTTTGTACCATTCAAAATATTTGTAATCATCACAACAGCTTGTAAAGGTGTTACTTTATTACCTTTATAAGGTAGATTCTACTGTAGTAGATGGGTTGTGTAAGATTGCAGGGCTAAATACCAAACTACAATCATTAGGGAAGCACACACACACACACACACACACACACACACACACACACACACACACACACACACACACACACTGACTGAACATCATCATTGTGATGTCTTCTAGGTGTGGTTCAGCAACAGGCGAGCAAGATGGAGGAAGCAAGCTGGAGCCAATCAACTGATGGCATTTAATCACCTCATTCCAGGGGGTTTCCCACCATCAGCCATGTCCAGCATCCAGCCCTACCAGCTCTCTGACAGCAGCTACCCCCCCTCATCCATAGCCCAAGGTAGGGTTAAATTTTGAATGCAGTGCTCTTGGTGTTGGGTTGTTCTTTTTCAAATTAATATATAAAAAATGTTGTTTTCCAAAATTCCTATATATTATGTTGGTATTAAAAACATACTTTACATATCTTTTATTCTGGCATTTTTCACGTGGAAGGTTATATTGACAGCATCAGTTTTGCTTTTACTTAAGTGAAAATTCAGTATAGATCTCTGAAGTCTGCCTGGAGGATATGTTATAGTTTTAATTTCACTTTCAGGCATCCAAATCACTTCTCCCAAGCAATGTTTACTCTAACTCCATCTTTCCTGCTTCCAGTAGTGTCAGAGCCACCCAGCACGGTGCACCGCCCCCAGCCTCTGCCTCCCTCCTCGGGCCACCAGGCCTCCGGTGGCGGCGGACAAGGAGAAGGAGGCTCTGCTTACTGCCTCGCCTCCGGACGCCACTCCTTCTCAGGCTACTCAGACAGCTTTGTGAGCCCTGGAGCACCAACCAATCCCATGAACGCTTCCATAGGGAATGGGCTCTCTCCACAGGTGAGACACAAGGTAGAAATATTTGGAGGAATGCGTGGTGATTAATTACTGACATTAAACAAGAACTTATATCAAGCAGTGTAAAAAGCACCGACGTTCTTGGATTCTTGATTTTGTTTTTAGAGAATAAGGAACAAACTAATCAGTGAGGTAAGACTGCTTCACTCGTGCTCATTATACTTTATCATATTTAGGGAAAATAAAAACCTTGACTCTTATATTAAATTACACATAGTGACATTTAGTTTGGGATTAAATTAACCCATAAGAACCCACGGTGTCACCGCCCCTTTACACATTGAAAAAAGTTCCTGTTAAAGTTTGAACTTTGACCCTCCATAGTTTTCCTGACAGTAAAAATGGGTCTGCGCTGTCATGGGTTAGTTCAAGGGAAACAGCATAATTAAGAAGGTGCTTCTTCTGACTTGATGTTTTTAGGTTGGGAGATGGAGATCGTGTTACATACTGTATCTGGGGAGAATTAAATCTGAACATGACTTCAAAGAGTTGAACTCAAGTTGAGAAGCATGTGACGTGAGCTTTAAAAGTCTCAACCAAGTTGCAAAAACATAAAAAAGCAGCGTTACTTCTTTCTGATTCCAGTTTGCACCATAGCTTCAAGGCTCTCCGCTCAGTGGCTGATGGGTCACTTGCTGCTGAGGGAGATAAGTGCGAAGACTCAAGAAGCACAGAGGACAAGTGAACGTGTGACAAATGAGAAGTGAAAAGACAATTACAGTCAATTATCGGGCATGAAGTCCCAAGGTCTCTGCATCTAGACAGAGGGCGCAGCAGAGGAGACAGAGGAGTCAGAGAGCCTAACAGGCATAAAATGAGATTTTAGCCTGGTGGAGGCTCAGAGAACAGGCCACAGCAGTGTGAAGATGGAGACACTCGCAAAGATATACACGCAGATTCACATAATTACACACGCACACGCACACGCACACACACACACACACACACACACACACACACACACACACACACACACACACACACACACGGTGTAGATAATTGATCAACTCCATAACATTCAGAGGATCACTTAAGGATTTTGCAACATCTTTTACACAAATATTACATGTCATGGTCAAGTGGCATGTCTAAGTTAACTCTTCAATCTTGTGTTTAGATTGGAGGATTTATTACTGCATTTTTTAGGATTTTCAAATACATCATGCAAGGAACTAAAGCCAATTTATTCACAAATGACTCACAGTAATTTTGCTAGGAATGCACAAATTATGTAATTCTGGGCTGACACGGACACCAATGTTCAAAATAATCATTTGGCCGTTATTTTATCTTTTAGTTTAGTTTATATTTCTTATTATTATAATTTCCAGCTCCGTGCCAAGGAAACAAAGACACGTCAACCGTTAAAGAATACTGAACTTTTTAAAACTTTTTAGCTCTTGATTCTAATATATTTTAACATTTAGCCAGAACAAGAAGGATGCGATATAGCAAAGAAATATCAGCCACTGACATCAGTAAATAGATCAGTGCTAATATTTGGCTGATCTCAGCATTGATAGTAAAATGATCTGAATATACGCAGGTAAACTGAGGGAGCATGTGGAAGAGCTTTTAGTTTTGCATACATCACACATACTTTTAGATGTTTAGCCGTTCTCCTGCGTAGATAAGACGTGCACAAAATAAAATACTGTGCACACGTAGACAGCGTGGTCATGTGTGCATGTGCACGCACCGAACCTTAAACTACAGCTGCAAGGAAGCCTTCTCATGATTGCATTCTTAAAATGTTTGCTTCAACATTCTTCCGCGCGAAAGCAAAGGTTCTAATTTTATTTGTATATATTTCGTACGGACGGGAAGGAATGCCCCATCTTAGACATTTCCCCCATCCTGACATTCTTCCCTGCAAAACCCTGATTTAGGCCGCTGGCAACGGCAGCGCTCCAAAATAAAACACCCTGGATGGGGCAGCCTCCTAGTGAGGTAGGGAGAAAGGGGAAGGATGGTAGCTAGAAGTTTGGTTAAAACAGCAAAAGCATGAAAGTCATCAGAGTAGAATTCATTCACTCACGGGGCAGGTATTCCTGCTCGTTGTGGTTTGATTCGGCCGTGTTGTCTCCCCGATCTCTGTGTGCTTAAATCGAACTTTTCAAATGCAGGTTAATTCTTTAGGAAAATGTTACCAGGCACAGGAGGAAACACAACTCCCCTCTCAAAATCAACTTGGACTCCTCCACTCACCTCCCCTACTTGGGAAATGATTTAAGCAGGACCATGTGTGTATGTGAATGTAGAATAATATGTCACTTAGAGGACCAGGAGGACGCAGAGTGGTGTACCTGCTTCTGATTAGGACAACTGGAAGAGCCTTGAGGCCTTTGCGTGGTTGAGAAGGAGGTGGGATATGATACATTTAGAGGTAGCAGGTTCAGTTAGAGTTAATTTCATAAGTGATAAGGTCAGTCTATTCCTTATTTATGGTTTACGATGGATTTTGTTAACAAACAGGTAAATTCAAAGAGTGAGCGAAGAGAGTCGTGATATCAGGTCTGTTTTGAAGCCAGTTGAAACACTTCGCCCCGCAGCTCTTTTCCATTCTTTGCTGGCCAAGGACTATTCCCCCCAAATTTGATTATCTGGTCGCTAATAAAGACCAGGTCAAGAGCTAACGGAGATCTGAACCTGGAAATCTATTCGGAGGGTTTGAACGGAGCTGAGCTCACACAGACCTTTCTTTTGTGTTGTCTTTGTCAGCATATCTCTCTTGGAGATAAGTTGTTATCTTATGCCATGGGTTTTGGAGCAGTGTCAAAAAGGAATTTTAGAATAAGTAGAGCCAAGGATCAGAAACAAATTGCTTAATTCTTCCTTTCTGGTGCTATCTCAGTATGAGACAGGCTCGCTGGCAGCCTTTTGATGTATGCGACGGGGGGATTTCCTTACTTTGGGTTGGTGTTGGTCTTAGTGTCTGTGGTGTTTTGTACTCGAGAAACTACAGATATTTAAGCTATTATAGTGGTTTATCAGAAACAATAAAAGAAAAAGAAAACATGTCTTCCACCCCTTTGGTATTAGAAAATAGGGGTTAAGGTGCTAATCACTGAAATTTTGAAAATCACTTTGACATTTTAAAGTTTGACATGCTGATAACGCATTATGTTCGAATGATTACACCTATCTGAGCAAACCACTGGGAGGTGACACATATATGGTCTTCCGCTTATTACCAAGATGAATAATCTGCCACACTAACATTTCATTATGGCCGCCCCTCCCTGAGCCTGGTTCTGCTGGCGGTTTCTTCCTGTTAAAAGGGAGTTTTTTTTCCCCACTGTCGCCTAAGTGCTTCCTCGTAGGGGGTGATATGATTGTTGGGTTTTTCTCTGTATGTATTATTGCAGGGTCTACCTTCCAATATAAAGTACCTTGAGATGACTGTTGTTGTGATTTGGCGCTATATAAATAAAATTGAATTGAATTGAATTGAATTCAGATCCTACCAACGTTAGAGGTGGTCTCAGTACTCGTATTTAAAAATGAACACATAACTAATCTGATTTTCATTCCTCTCCTCTTCTTTGCATTTTTCTAATCAGGTGATGGGTCTTCTGAACCCAGGCGGTGTGCCGCATCAGCCCCAAAGTGACTACGCCATCTCTCCACTGACAGGCGGCCTCGAGCCGCCGGCCGGCATGGCTGCCAGCTGCAGCCAGCGGATGGATCACATCAAGGGCTTGGAGGGTCTCACCAGCGTTCCCTCCATGTCAGCTCTGCCCTCACTGCCAAGCTCCCAGTCCTACTGCCCCCCATCCTACAGCTCACCGGGCTACACCGTCGACCATGTGGCATCCTACCAGTACAGCCAGTACGGACAAAGTAAGGTCAATAAACTTCACCTTTTTTATTCCTACCTTTTAGTTAATAATGCATTAAAATGCCATTATTTAGACATGGTTCCTGTTTTTGCAGTTTTTTTAATGCAATTGCGTAAAAAAAAAGATAACAATAACACAAAGACAGACACACTTATGTGTTATGGAAAAAGTATTCAGTCTTGACTCTATTACAAGTAAAAAGCCTGTATTTCAAAAACCCTGATTGTGAGCACCGGTGCAGCAGTCTTTTCTTCCCTGCTTAATTGTCTAATAAAGGCGTAAAAGTAAGCAGTATTTTAAGATTATAGATGCATACATTGACAGATCAGACTTTAAATACTTTGTAAAATCTTAGAAATTAGGTGTATTTTATAAAGTGATTTTGTGTTTCGTGTGTACAGCATTAAAACATGCAGAGTCAGAAAAGTATGAATAAATAAATACAGAGGAATGAAAAATACAGTATCCTGCAGTAAAATATGGTGTATTTTCATGTCTATGCTTTTCTTAGGACTTTGAGATCATGTAACTAAAGAACAACAAAAACCACAGAGTTGTGTTTATTTTGAATCTAGCGTATGGCTTTCAGTAACTCTCCAGTTTTCTTGTCCAAACTGCTGACTGGTTTTATTGTGGCCTTTTACTTACATATGAAAACATTTGAGCCAAATCAGGCGTTACAGTGTATGATTATCGAGCACGCTGGTAGTCCAGTGGTCTCAGGTCTACCCTGTAACCACAGATTGGTTCCTTTCCTTCCACAAATGGAAAAAAAACGCTTTTGTACATACAGGACGCAGGTAGCTGTAGCACTGCTTGTTAACATTTTGCGGGTCCAGTTATGCAGTTTCAAGTGTTGGGGTTAATTGTGCAGATCTGATTCCATCTAAGAGGAGATTGGGCCGGTGCTGAGACTGAACTCTGCGGTGAAGTACACTGCAGAGTCAGCTTGCATCAGGGTAAAGGACAGCAGCAGCGGAGCCCTCCTCAGACTGTTAGTCCTCAGAGAATACCTGGAGTGAGGGTCTTTTCACTTCGCATTACTGTTACCTGAAGGGTTAAAATCAACTTCAAACACATCTCCCTCTAACTTTGGAAGGCAACATCGTTTTCCGTCACAGCGTGATTACAGCGGCCGCCGTTTCCAATTTTGCTCCACAGGGGGTTGACCAATCAGATTCATCCATTGACCTTGTGGCAACCTCAATACAACTGGGTCCTTCAAAGAGCATGGCAACGGTCCAACAAGTCTGACTCTGTAGCTCTGTGGGGCGGCGGGTATCAAATGAATATCTAACTTAATATCCGATAGCAGCAAATGTCTAATGAAATATCTCGGTCTGATATCTTAAAGCGGACAGAATAAAGAATTAGTGCGACACACATGATGAACCGCTAACATGTAGCTCTGTGCGCTTACATACACACAGACCTCCAAATGCAACCCCCCCCCACACACACACACGCACCTCGGCAGCGATACAAGGCTGAGCAGTCCATCTTGATGTGATTAATCAGTGTGACTGGATAGCCGGTGTGTGGTTGGGTTTGGATCTGCAGAGGAAAGGTCCTTTCTGGGGGTGGACGGATCCTAATAGCCTCTGGCAGGGCGGCGATTAGAAACAGGTGCTAGGACTGAGGTCAGCTGGGGAAGCAGTGTTGAACAGTGCTGCTCCAGGTTCCAGAGCAGTATGAAAAAACTGGTCCACACACTGTTGCACATTTTGACAACACGTTAGCTCTCACTGGACCGCCTCACGGAAATTACAGCGGTAATCCATGAAGCACTTGTTTGGTTTTATTTATGTAATGTCTCTGTTGCTAAGCAGACATTTCTGTGGTGCTTTTTGCAGAGGTCACCTGTCATTTTCTTTACCTGTTAGGCTGTGGTGCCAGTTACAGCTCACTTTGGGAAAAAATGGACACATCTCACATAAAACATCTCTTCCTGTGTATTAGGAAAGGCCTCCAATCAGAATTAGTCTGAAAACTGTTCCATAACAAACAAGTCACGGAGACCCAGGGCGCTCATCGACCCATAAAAACGTCTTTGTTTGTTGAACCGATGACATTTCTCAAAAATCTTCAGAGCTACTGTTTTCTGTGCTCTGTTCATTAAGTCTTATTTCCATTATATCTTTCATATGTAATCGGCCCTCAAAAACAAAGCCAGTTTGTTCCTTAGCGTTTGGTTTTTAACATACATAACAGAGGACCCTATACACACAGGTGCTAATCAATGACAAAAATTAATGATAAAATTCTATTATAACAAAAAGCTGCGGCCAATTAGACATTTTTGATTTTCATATAGATACATATAATACTGAAATACTGGTATTGCAACATAGCTACCTGATTCCGCTGGCGGCACATATCAGTGTTTTCAATGAAACTTGCAGCGGCTCTAAATAGCCTCTCCAAACAATTCGACTTATCAGAATCACTACTTTATAATTCTCTGTGGGCACGCTCGTCCGATGAGTGAGTGTGAGTGAATGGCAAGGACAGTTGACAGGCTTACAGAAGAAAAGAAAAAACTACTAAAAAGATCAGAGCACTGGAAAAATAATCTGAGAGCTAATAAATGGACCATTTGGTTTATGTATGTATACAAAATTAAAGACATTAAAGTGACCATTCTAAGGCCTTTTTTATAGTTTCTAAGATATTGGGATATATATTTAATAACAGTCTTGTAGTGTATTGAGTATTACAACGTCTCTGTGTCACATTGATAACCACATATTGTAACATTATTGCGAGGTGCTCTGGGATTCTCTGCCCTGTTTGTACATCACACTCAATAAATAAGTGCAACACAAATAAAAAAAAATTCTGCTAATTACAAAATGTCGCTTCTGGGAGTCGGAAGAAGAATTTAAACCAGCATGCTATTATTATTATTATTATTATTATTATTATTATTATTATTATTATTATTATTATTATTATTATTATTATTATTAATAATAATAATAATAATATAATAATAATAATAATAATAATATAATAATAATAATAATAATATTGGTGTTTAAATACATGATCTACATCTAAATTCTTCCATTAAATTTCACTTTAAAAATTAGTTTACAGTTTAGTTTCCCTCTGCACATACCTACACTTCTCACATCTCTCTGCGCTGACCCAACACCACAAACCACTGTTGTCACATGCGATGCTAACAACAGCCATATGTTGGCAGAACTGGACGTAAAAACACATGCCCAAAATTTATTGCAGCCATATATCTCTTTTATTGTATTTCCACTTAATTTGTTTTTTTAAATTCACTTTTTCCAGGTAATAATTCAACAACTGTTTCATCCTTTGTTTCTTTTCTTTTCTTTTACAGGTACCCTTCCTTATCTGAGGCCTGAAATCACCTGATGAGCAGCTTCAAGATTCACTGAAGGCCCCACAAGAGTGTGTGTGTGTATGTGTGTGCGTGTGCGTGTGTGTGTGTGTGTGTGTGTGCGTGTGTGTGTGTGAGGGAGAGAGAGAGAGTGTACGTAGTGACAGAAATATTTGAATATCTGGACCAAATTTGTTTTACCATTTACTGTCTACTACAGGATGTTACTTAATTCTCTTTGGAGGAAAAATGGACAAAAAAACAAAAAGAAGGGACCACAAGAAAGAATACGGGAGCAAAAACTCTTTATGAACCACAAACATTGCTATTTTAGATGAACGGCGGAGCCTCCAGTGCTCGCTGTCATTGAGTTCGGACCATTTGCTGTGTTACGAGGATGAAGTTGTACGGCCAGCTCTGCCTGTAAGGACAGAGAATCCCGACCTATCATCACAGACTACCATGTTTACGTATCTGCACCACATGAGCGCCTAGAAGATTCCCAAATTAATCCTTAAATTGTATGGGGGAAGAAAATGGCTTTGTTGATTTTGTTGCATTTATTTGACATCTCAGCATCCCACACATGGAAAGAAATTCCAGAGAGAAGGAAAACAAACTCGAACTAACGAATCCGTGGGTTTTTATTGTGTCAGAAAGTCTAATGTACACCACAGCTGTACGGCAGAGAAAGTTAATTCAAACATTCCTCCCGCCTCCCTCCCCCTCTGCCTTCTCTCCCTCCTTTCTGTCTCATTGATGTCTCAGACGGTGAGGCCTTTTGTCGTTTTAAAGAGAAACTTTAAAGAGGTCAAAGGGTGACTTTAAGGAAAGTGACAGATGAGAGCGCAGTAGAAGAGGGTGGCAGAGAAGTGGCTTTAAAAAAAAGGGCGTGCGGAATGGGAGGGGGGACGACAAGCTAGATCGATCACAGTGTTAAAAAAAACCCTCTAAAGATCTTCTCCTGGCAAGAAAAATCCAGCGGGTCACAAGTCACGACCAGGAGACACTTGAGAAAGCAAGAAAGCAAAAGAGTTTAGACTAAAGACAGCCACTCTCCCAGCTGACCAGAAGTGCAATATCACATAACTTAGAGTCAACCTCAGCATTAAAACAATAAGAAAATCAAATGTGCCTCTTGAAGTCATTCTCTGGATCGAGTTTGGGACTCTGCAAAGGAGCAACACATGTGCCTTTGAAGGCTTTCGGGTCCAAAACAAATAGGAAACACTGCTAATATAGCTAAAAGAGCACTCTGAGGGGACCACATTTGTTAGGGCTTCAGGGCCTTGAAAGGACTGAGTGAAGGGAAAGCCAGTATATAGAGCAAACGAAGGAATGACAAAGCCAAAATTGTATTTTTTTATTACTTTGTGTTGTTTGAAACGTTTTTTTTTAAACTTCCGTCTTACAAAAGCAGGAAATGCTGATTAGTTTTCCGATGCATTCCAGACATATTTATTGTCACGAGCGTCCTGTGTGTCAGCAACGTCATTAAAAAAAAAGCAAAAGAACTAAAATCCTTTATCCGTGAAATTGTGAATAGCAGAGTGTCGTCACGAGCACTCCTGCTTTGTCCTTCTGTCTATATTAGAATGAAGCAGTCCTTTCATTCATTTGATATATTTTTTTTGTATTATTTGACAAAGCGATATGACATAATGTCATGTGTACGAGCGCATTATCACTCCTATTTATAATGAAATAAAACTTCCAAAAATAGCTGCTTGTTTTCGTCTCTTTTTTGTTGTTCTGCTAAATGGGAGTCTTTGTGTTTATTTTTTGCCACAGCTATAAAAAAAAAGAGAGTGACAGTAATTCACTGGCGGAAGAATACTAGCGCACTCGGAGACAAATGTGTACTTTTCAAGGGGGCTCATGTGAACCCTCCAACCAAAATAGGCCCGGCCAAATGGGGATCACCAGACATTGGATTTGACACTGAACACAACAGGCTTTCTCACGGATAGCTGTAAATGCTCAGACATCTGCATTGGTGTGTATTAATACCCCCCCGCTGGCCCCCCGCTACTGTAACAAACTCACTTTTGTTTAACAACCTCTCCGATGAAGAGAACAAGCCTCAAAGCGTTTCTGGACAAACAGCACGCCGGCCCAGCCGCTCCGAAAACCTCTGCAACCAATCCGGCCTGCTTACATACACAGGGCCCCCTCTGTGTATGTGTGCGTGTGTATATGTGTGTGTTTGTGGACCACATGCATTCATACATTATGTTCATGTTCACTTATAGTGTTGTTTCTGTGTGTGCGTGTGTTTTCATGCAGCCTGAGGGTATTAACCCTAATTATAACATTCTTCTGATTAATCGTGTCTGCTCGCGGGCCTCGGAGGGGCGGCGCTGTGTGCAGCTCATGCAGCAGGACCACACACTCTATAAATAAAGTCTGAGTCAATAACAACGTTAAGGATCACTCATAGTCTTGTCAGCTCTGTTTGCCAACACACTGAGACCCACACACAAACACAACCATGCACACATATTCTGGAAAAGGGTCTAATCACCTGCGGCGCGCACCAACACTACTGCGGGTACACACAGATGCGCGTGCATGCGTGTAGCCACATTTGGACTCTCTCTCACACGCACACACTGTTTGCTTTCTTAATCAGTGCGTACCATTAAAGATGAAGACAAATCACACCTGCACAGTTCCTAAACTAAGACATTACTTTTATTAATGAACTGCTGCCCCCTGCTCTGAAAAGGCTATTATTTCTTTAATACACCCCAGAGTGTAGTTACATGGAACTATTTTAATGACATTTCATACTGCCAGATAATGATAAATTTTTGGACGGGTCTTTTTTGCTCGACACAAGCTGCCGTATTCAAAGAAATCCAAATGAAATAACCTGATTTTTCCCCTCAAATTATTATTTTTTTCCGTCTTCTTTTTAATGCTCCTTTCTTTTCCACAGCGTGAAACTGGTTAGTGCTGCAAGTGTATTTATCGTACCACAGACACATTTTATGATTGAGTGAGTATTGTTCTCACTGACTCCTGGCCTGGATTGTTTTCTCTTGGTTGCAGCACAGTTATCTATAGTGCTAAAATCTTTCCTGGTGCCGTCCTTCAGATAAAACTTTTTACTAAACCCAATCACACACACTCTCTTTCGTTGTTACTCTCAAAGAGACCCACAAACTGAGGCAAACACTTGCAGCGTTGTATCACCATGTGATCCAGTAACTCAGATCTGAGACAACCCCCCCGGGTTAAAGAATTTGTTTTTTACCTCAGTGTTGTGATCTAACATGACCTCCAGATCATGCCAGCAGCTGCTTCTGTCATTCTCACTATGTTAAGCGTGTGTGTGTGTGTGTGTGTGTGTGTGTGTGTGTGTGTGTGTGTGTGTGTGTGTGTGGACACTTTCTGATTGTCTCTACCATGTGTTTCGTGGTTCTTGAGTAACTTTTAAAGGATCATATAGTCAAAGAGAAAGCTGTTGGCACACTAGCTCAGTGGTTAGCACAGAGGGGTTTTGGTTTGAATGTGATCACCAGCTGGCTGGTGTTAGCATGGCCTCCTTCTGTCTGTGTGGGTTTAGACCAGATGTACTGAGGCCAGTTTCACACAGAAAGACTTTGACTATGGCTTAGGTAAAAGAAACAGTCAAACCTTCGATAGATGTATAAATTAATCAGTGGCACAAGTGGCACCACTAGAAAAAAATCTGTCAATTCAAGTATAATGATAACACTCTCGCAGCTTATCTGTTCTCTGACTCCTCTTAGACACGTTGATCTGTTGATCAATCTGAACGAAACTTCCTATGTAAACTGTCTATGGTGCCAGGATCATATATACAACATCTATATAACTTCTGGGAATTATATTTACAACACTCAAATCCTTACAAGTATATTTTATATGTATCTGATCTTAGAATGAATGGCATGTTATATAACGTGTACGACATTGCCTGTATTATGTGTATGTTGCTGTTTGTAAATAACATTTTTAGTGCAGTGTATCACTGTGCATATCTGTAAATGAATGTTCAGAACACAACTGAGCTTGAAAACAACAAGAGCAATACATATATGTTTTATTAAAAGTGCGAGACCCAATGGCCTTGAAAAAATACTAAGAATTGCTAGTAATAATAATAAAAAATGAAATTACTAGTAATATTTGTGGGGAAGAGGAAGCACCAGTTAACAATGCAGTTCATTAGTGCTGGGAACAAGTCCTGATATCTGGTACAGACAGTAACCTTCTCTGTCTCCCTCTGATATTTGTCAAAAACAGGCATTGTAGACGTTGTACACATTGTTTTTATCTAGACATTGAGAGTTCTTTTGGCTACAACAATCTCGGCCAGTCTTTTACTGTAACGATTTAATGTTTTTGCTTTTTCAAATGGTAACTGAACTAATCACACTGGCACTTGTATTTTGTCTTAAAACATCATTGAAACTCTTGCTTAGCAAACACATGAGCAGCTGTCAGTAATGTTAGACCTTCAGCTTCCTTTGTAAGTGATTGTGACAAGGCAAACAAACACATTTTGACATTGATTAACAGTTTCTTGGTGGTGCTTTTATTTGTGAATTGTTTGATATTTTCCTTTATGGATTACGTTGTCAATTGCTAGCTGATCATGCAGCTATAGCTGATTTAGACTTCTAGAGTGAAACTTTGTAGAGACTATGCAAGTGGACAGCATTTATATTTGTGCTGGTGCATTACCTTTAAGTTAAACGTGTGGTCGCGTCCCGGTGTGCACGTCAGGTTATGGTGTGTGGTTATGTTGTACCTACAGTGTAGATTTATAATGCTGATGTTAAGTGTCCAGAGAGGCAATGGTGGAGATAGTAAAGACGCATGAGGTATTATTATTTTATTTAAACTGGCTCTGGTAATGTGGTAAAGGTGTCTGTTCAAATCCATTTAGAAATTTATCAGCCATACTACAGTAGCACCAGGATGACATTCTTCGTTTAACAGGAAAAATCTGTGATTGTTCAGTGATTGCAATAAATTTTTTTTGTGCATTTGGTGACACATTCTCAGTCATTGGTGATTTCCCAGAGGTTGAGGGTGTTGCATGCTCAACACCCCAAGGATGGCCAATGCTAAGCGATTGCACAGGTCACCTGGTGGGAGCCAAACGGTTTCCAAACAATTGTTTCCAAATAATCGTTGTCTAATTCATAAGTGCAGACTGAGTGGCAACATGTTGCAATCAGTCGGAGTCAGTCTGCACTGAGAAGCACAACTTGTCTGTGTGTCTCTTTACAAAAGGCGACCCAACTCATCTGATTGTATTGGTTTTTTTAAAGTAACTATGCAATTATTTGTGGGGAACCTTCTGAATTTCTGTTTCACATCTATGAGGTTCTGGCCATTTAATCTTGCAAAGGCAACAAGATTGCGAGTTTATTGCTCAAAGTAGAAATTATTTATTTATTTATTTGGCATTTTTGCATTTTTTTTGATAGTGACAGGAAAGGAGTGAGAGACAGAGAGGGAAAACATGTGGCTGGGTCGCACTCGAACCCGGGCCACTGAAAATCAATACTGGATACCTGTAATTGAAAACAGTCATGATTCTGTTGTGTTTATCTAAGTATTTCACTTAGATAAATCACTATCTGTGAACAAAGTTTACTATTTTTATCCACAAATGCTGTATCGTGCAAAAATGAAGCCAACATGATCCAGAAACACCATTTTTTGAGGCCATTTTGAATGAGCATTGAGCTTATTTAAAATTTTTATTGAGCCATTGAGCTTGTTTAAATGGACTAAGGCAAATTGGAAAAATTATTGGACAACATGGACAACACATCCTCTGGACTAAAGAGGATAGGGAGTATCCGGCTTGTTATCTGCACTTAGTTCAAAGGTCTGCATCTCCGATTGCATGGAAATGTGCCATCCAGGATGACTTTTTCAAGGTAGGCCTTGCATATTTCAGCAAGACAGGAGTAAACTGCATGCTGCATCTATTATAACAGCATGTGTGAGCATAGTGTAGTTGCTGAATTGGCCTGCTTGCTGTTAAGAATTAAAAAGAGGACCCCGGAATATTGAGCAGCTACTATGCTATACCTGAAAACAGTGGAACAACATTCCTCTTCCAACAGTCTACTCACTTCCCAGACATTTATGGACTGTTGTTAAAATATGAGGAAATGCTACATAGTGGTAAACATGATTCTTTTTTTTAAAGACATGTCACTGCTGTTCAGTGTTCAGTTGTTTTTTCCTTCTCTTCTATGTTGTTTTGTGAATAAAATATGTTTTAGGAGATTTGCAAATCATTGCTTTCTGTTTTTATTACATTCTACACCAGCAGGTCCCAACCTTTTTTTGGAAATTCAATATGATAAATTTCATCAGTAAAGAGTTACTGTATTCTTGGCAGTTGCACTAAAAGGGCTTCAATCTATTTGTGCTATAAACCATAGATGTTTGTAGTATTTGTTCAATATAAATATTGTATTTGAAGGGAAGGACTCAGAATCCAGACTACAGTTAGCCAAAATATGAATTACACCACAGATTAGGTTAGCTGCAGTGGACTAACAGAAATTACAAACTGACATTAAATCTACATGAAAGGTTGTAAATTGTTAGAAATTCCAGAAGTCAGGAAAAGTCAGGCATCTTAAATCCTCTAATTAGATCATTCTTAACTTCGATTCAAATTTTGTTCATATGTAAACTCGTTAAAACCTGTTATCAACCCT